CCGCCCTCCACCATCCCCGAACCTCTCCCAGATTCCCTCATCATTCTGGATGATGTCAACATCCATGGAGGTGACCTAGACCCCACCACACGCCTTGTCTTCTGGCCCCCTGACTTTTCCAACTCCAGGAAGCACCTAAAACTCCTGGTTTCCCTTAAAATCCCTGATCTCAATCCCAAACCTCACTTCCAACACCGCCCAGCAAACCTACTCTGCCGATCTGGTAGGCTGACTCTCCCTCTCTCCCCGATGAAGGGACTTTCTTCTGCTCATTACTGTATCCCCAGCACCCGGAAAGGGCCTGGGTCTTTCTTTCGGAAACTCTCAGGCTAAATGAGGAGCCCTGGGAGATATTCGAGTAACATCCATGGCTTTTCTAGACACGGATTCCTGGCATACTGCCCTGCGGACTTCTCACTGAGACATCAGGGTGCGTGCGTGGGGCGGGGGGTGACGTGATGTTGCTAAGAGAGCCATCTCTGTTATTGAGTAGTAAGATTCGGTGGGAGAATTTTACTTGCCTCCTTGAGATAACAATAACAAAGGCAACTGTTCTCTGGGAGCAAGTGTAACAGTCCTCTGTAAGCAATCCCACCAGAATCACGGATGGCCTGCATTAAACTTGACATTTTTGGTATCTGCGCATCCATTTTCCTCGGCCTGCTATTTTCAAATATTGCCTGGCACATCATTTTTGTAATTTAGAAAGAAGTCACTAAGGGACATCTGGGTGGCTCAGTCAGTTGAGCGTCCGACTTCGGCTCAGGTCATGATCTCATGGTTCATGAATTCAAGCCCCGTGTCGGGCTCTGTGCTAACAGCTCAGAGCCTGGAGCCTGCTTCGGATTCTGTGTCTCCCTCTCCCTCTGCCCCTCTCCTGCTCGCACTCTGTTTCCTTTTCTGTCAAAAATAAACATTAAAAATTTTTTAGAAAAAAGCAACTAAAATAGCTCATTAGCTGGAACACTGTCAGAGCAGATTGGAGGAAAGTGATACAGAGAAATGTAAAATACCTATTAACGACCAGTTGATTTAACGCCAGTCATGTGAGGGACGTTTTGAACTCTTTGACCTGAGTCAAGTTTTCAACCCAAATAATCTCTCCAGAGAAGCGTTGAGACATGGGGGAGCACAGGGCAGCGTGGCAGGCTGAATAACGCCCCCCAATTCCAAGAATCTGTGCCTATGTGGCCCTTATGTGGCAAAAGGGACTTTGCAGATGTGGTTAAAAAAATTTTTTTAATGTTTATTTATTTTTGAGAGAGAGAGAGAGAGAGAGAGAGAGAGCATGAGCGGAGAGAGGGAAACACAGAATCTGAACTGGGCTCCAGGCTCTAAGCTGTCAGCACAGAACCCAACGCGGGGCTTGAACCCATAAACCGCGAGATCATGACCTGACTGTCGTCATAACCAACTGAGCCACCCAGGCACCCCCTGCAGATGTGATTAAATTAAGGGTCTTGAGATGGGGAGGTGGTCCTGGATTATCCAAGTGGGCCCAATCCTTTTAAGAAACCCCATATATTTAAAAGGATCTGAAGAAAGACAACAGTCCTTACAAGAGGGACACAGAAAGGGTCAGACAGAAAGCGATGTAATGACAGAGGCAGAGGGAGAGGGAGAGATTTGCGGACGATGCAGTGCTGGCTGTGATGGAGGATGTGGAAGCTTTGGAAGCTAGAACAAGCAAAGAGCCTGGTTCTTCCCTGCAGGCCCCACGGGGGCCCAGCCTGCAGACTTCAGTGCAGTGAGACTGATTTCGGGATCCTGGCCTCCAGACCCGCACAATTTGTGCTATGACCTAAGCCACGGCGCTGGTGGTAATCTGTTAGAGCTGTCATAGGATGCCAGGCTTTTGGGGGGTTTTCTGGTATTCAACCAACCCCCAGGGAAGACAGGGATTCTCTGCGCACTTCTAGTTAAAAAACAAACAAACAAAACCTAGCTGCCCCAAAGATCATTTCCCCCTAAATATACAGACCAAGCCTTCAGTTTTGAAATGTGGTCAGGACGCAGGCACAAAGCTGAGGTGGGCAATCAGCTACAGACTGAGGTTTTTTCTGAGTTACAGCTCATTAAAACGTAACCAGAGGGGCGCCAGGGTGGCTCAGGCGGTTAAGCGTCAGGCTTCGGCTCAGATCATGATCTCACGGTTCTTGAGTTTGAGCCCTGCATCGGGCTCTCTGCTGTCAGTGCAGAGCCCGCTTAGGATCCCTGGTCTCCCTCTGTCTCTCTCTCAAAAATAAAGGAACATTAAAAAGCAATAAAAGCTGGAGCATTTGGGTGGCTCAGTTGGTCAAGCAGCTGACTCTTGGTTTTGGCTCAGGTCATGATCTCACCGTTTGTAAGTTTGAGCCCCGCATCAGGCTCCTGGCTGAGGCTGTGAAGCCTGCTTGGGATTCTCTCTCTCCCTCTCTCTCTGCCTCTCCCACTGCTCATGATCTCTCTCTCTCTCTCTCTCTCTCTCTCTCTCAAAAATAAATAAATAAACATGGGGCGCCTGGGTGGCGCAGTCGGTTAAGCGTCCGACTTCAGCCAGGTCACGATCTCGCGGTCCGTGAGTTCGAGCCCTGCGTCGGGCTCTGGGCTGATGGCTCAGAGCCTGGAGCCTGTTT